GTAACGAACGAACGTTAACTTCAACAATACCCTGTGACTGCAGTTCAATTACTCTCTATCTACACACACACACATTACATTTCATGTTGTCCCCTTCTTTTATATACCCGACTACCCTATATCTAGTAAATACTAGAGCATTCGCCAAAGTACAGGATAGTTCTAGAAACGTGGCGTCACAGTAGTCATGTCGTTTTAAAAGATGTATTATTTATATTAATTAAATAGTAATTGGGCTAAAGTCGATAAACCTGCGCTTGTGTTCAAGTTAGAAGGTCAAATTAGCGTTATGTTGTCCAAATAGATTATGACCTCCCGCCTATGGGGCTAAAAGTGCTGTAAGATGCACAGAAAAAAATCAGGAAATCTACAAACACGATTTCGTTCAGAGTGCGCTAAAATCAACAATAAAATTAAAATTTGTGATTTAGAAAAATTATGTTTAAAAATTTATTAATGAAACCTTTTGTTAAATAAATGTCAACGTTGAAGTTTTTTAATATATGGAAGAACGACTTCTTGTATATTTTGTATATATTCTTTAATTTAATGGTCCCCTCAAGGTGGGATACAAATAGGCGGGCGTAACAGAGTTAAATAAATTAAAATTTCTTTAATATAAATTAAAAATTTCCTTGGTCCACTTGACTCAATAAAATGCCATGTTTTATGCAAATTACCTTACGAATGCGTATAGTTCGGATCATAAAATTGGCAAGACTTTCTTCAGATAACAACGTAATTTCTAGATCTCCGTAAACATCAGGCTTGTCTGTCTCCGTTGGCCAGTACTGGACACACATGACCTGTCGACAAAATAATAATAAACTATCAACGATGTTTTTAAACTATTTTTAATTAATTTTTTAACATTTTTTTTCACGAATTTTCTACTCTCTTAATTTGTCACATCATTTTTGAAACATAAAATTTATAAACTAAATAAAACTGACAAACATAGAAGATAACCTAATAGCTATTTTTAAGGCTTTTATGTACATTTTCAATCACTGGTACTTGTATTTATGACAAAGCTAGAAAGCCTTCCTGCCGCATCCTCTAATTTAGAAGTACCGATTAGAGGAAAGGCAGCCAACCAGCAGCCACGCTAAGGGATTGACTCACTCTTATCACGCACATAGGAGGGCGGGGAATATTTTGTCGTGTCTCACAAATCCAAATCAGCTCTACCCAGTAACCTATAACATATGCTGGAGGGAGGAATCGGTCAAACGCACCTGACTCTCCCAGGTGAAGATGGGAAATCCAGGGTTCTACCATAGGACCAATCCGCATTCATTTTTAAACAGAATAAAGTGTTGGTTGGTCAACTCTAAAACTGACGTCAGATATCTAGACTCTGTGATCCAGATAGTCTTATTGTACTATAAAAGCTGGTTTATCTTAACCAACTTGACTCAGATCATGATGCTACTACACATGCTTCGAAACGTAAGCAGCCGGTGCGTTATAAGAGTGGCATTCAATCCCACTATTCGATTAAGAGGAGCCACTTCAGGCGGTGGATGCTTTCGTCTGGACTACTTTTCTCTGTTCCGCAGTCCAAAATGATGGGCGTTTATATAATATAACCGTCCATAATTTCACCTGAATGATGCCTCACGTACACAATGGGCTAAACGGACAGGTCAGAGACCCTCCGTGATTCACATGTGAATCACGGAGAGTCTCTGACCTGTCCGTTTAGCCCATTGTGTACGTGAGGCATCATTCAGGTGAAATTATGGACGGTTATATGTGAATCACGGAGGGTCTCTGACCTGTCCGTTTAGCCCATTGTGTACGTGAGGCATCATTCAGGTGAAATTATGGGCGTTTATATAATGTGAATCACGGAGAGTCTCTGACCTGTCCGTTTAGCCCATTGTGTACGTGAGGCATCATTCAAGTAAACATGGAATAGATTTTTCACTGTTGACTTAACATTTGACAAAGAAGTCACAGCCACGAAAATCTCCAATCTCATAAAAGTTTTCAGCAAACTTGGGCTCACCTTCTTATATTGTACGATCCCAATATCTCATTTTGTCTACGATGATCTGATGTGCTTACAATCTCTAAAGATATTAAATAAGGGACCGTTAAGAAAATATATCCTTAAACTTATCAAAAGCTAAATATATATATATATTTCCATGTTACAGGCCAGCCATCCCGTATTTCCGTCTTTTAAAAAGAGATGAAGATCGTTATGCCCCCTCTTCAAGTTGCTAAAAGTTACTGACACATACTAATATATAAAAAGTGAGACCATATAAAAAACGGGAGGGGGGATGCGTATATAAGCGTGTAGATACAATGCATGTGTTATTTAATAAATATATACATGAACATATAAGACCTTTACGGTAACGTCTATAAACTCATCATTGTATATAATTTTGTTGAAAGTATGCGAGTTACACAAAAACAAACTGATTACGTTACTGTAACAATGACCTGAGGAAATATGCTTACATACATTTTCCAGTAGAGTTTTTTTGTGTATGTGTGTGAAACTTTAAACTGAAAATTTTATTTCTATTCACGTTCGAAATTTTTTTCTTTCTATCGTAGTTTAAAAATACAAAATGTTTAACTCTGTAAAATAAAACACTGCTGGCTTAATACCACTGTACAGGGCCAATTTTTCGGTTAGGTCCCGGTGGTTATTTGGGCTGTGTGAGTACTCTAAAAATAAAATAGGTTGTTGTTGGAAACGTGAAGGGGTCTTCTCATTTTACAATAGTCTGAAATGTCTTTGAGGTTAAGACTAACAATTATTGGTTATGCTGTCCAAATGGCAGGATAAGAGGGGATTTTTTTTTTTGCGTATATCCAACACCAGGTGACGTATACTAGAACGAAAATACTTTAAATAGCCAGTATATTATATTTGTAATGCTGGCGTTTCCATAATTTAATTTAGTTTCATCTGTATTAAGTAGCTCTTAAATACGAACTTACTTATATATACATCTTAGTATTTTATTTCAGCGCCCTCTACAAGGTCATCATTTTCCATCGGATACACATATGAACAATATGAATTGAAAAATGGTCTTGAATCTTTAACCTTTCACCTGCATTCAAGTGAAAAATGTCGTCAGGGATGCCGAACGTTTTTGGAAAGTGGGAGGCAAAAAAACAAACGTTTGAAAATTTTATTTTAGACCATGGTTAAGTAACCCTGACAAGTAAATGAATTACCATTTTAAGTGTTACATCACAAAGAAATGTAACTACCATTCAGATTTGTATAAACGACAGTTCAAAATTCTTTTCGTGAATACAAAGCATGTTTGTTTGTTTGTAATTAAGCACAAAATTACACAATGGGCTATCTGTGCTCTGCCCACCACGGGTATCGAAATCCAGTTTCTAGCGTTACACGTTCGTAAACATACCGCTTTGCCACATACAGACGAATTACATCAAACAAGAATTTTGTTTTACAGTATATGGAACAAAATACGTCATATCATATAATATAATTGTTAACATTGGTTATCATCATTAAAGTATTTATAGCCATCAAAATATTCAGATTAGTGTCAGACTCGTTATTTTTTTTTTAAATCTTGCCTGTTTTACTACATGAGACCAGGTCTATATTAATACTGGTTGAAAAATAACCAACTAAAATTACATTTTAGAAACGTAAAATTAACGATAAACTAGTTATTTGAAATCTTAATTTAATAATAGACTAATTTAAATCTTAAAATCGACGATAAAGTTGCTTTACGTCTAAAATCGATAATAAAAATACTTAAAATTAATTGTTAATTAAGCTGATTTTAAAAATAAAACATTTTTTTTACGTCCGCCCCCCTATAGATAAATGTAGTTATCTTAGCACACAGATAGATCAACGCTACTTTAGTCTAAGCCTCGGAAAGGATAATAGTGAAAAAATACCAGTAGATACACTTACCCGGATGAATTCAAAGACTTTGGTTAACATCACGATGACGTGTGATTTCTGTTCCCACATCATTCTCCAAAAATCAGCGATAGTGTGTTCGTTCGGGCCTAAGACGTAAGTTTTATCACAAATATTATGAGGCCTATTGGAAGTTTTGTTCATATATTTGGAAACAATCTAATCCATGTATTTTAATAATAATAAAATAGTGTTGTACTTTAAGTGAAGGAGCCAAATAACATGATCAAAACTGTTTTGTAACGTAAATGCACATTGTTAATTATAAATGAAAACACTAAATACTACAGTTAAGCTACTTTAACCCCAACTGTGACAGAATATTGAGGTACTACAAGTAAATACATTGTTATAATATGTGTGTGTGTATATGTAGGCTAATATTGTCCACGCTTTTTGATTTTTGAATTGGTCTAATTTTGATTAGTTCTACATATGTTTCACTGTTTATCGTGTCTGTAGTCGAATAGGCTTAATTAATGTATTAAAAAACTAACGGAACGAGCCAGAATTAGTAGATACAAAGAATGTTTACTAAATAAAACTCGAGATTCTTTTTATTTGCTGAACAGCCAAACTATTAAACAAAAAAAGAAAGCCATTTTTCCATTTGGTAGTTCAACTAAGCGGGCAGGAAATGGACAAAAAAGTACCTCCTGGATCGTTTTGACGATAATAGAAACAAAAAATAGTAGCGCAACTGGAAACCCTTACGTCATCTAAAAGTGGCTTACGCTTCGAGTTAAGAATGAACATGTAGATCTTGACAGCAAATCTCAGGCAACAATTAATAATTTGAAGAGCAAATCTCAGGCAACAATTAATAATTTGAAATGCAAATCTCAGGCAACAATTAATAATTTGAAATGCAAATCTCAGGCAACAATTAATAATTTGAAGAGCAAATCTCAGGCAACAATTAATAATTTGAAGAGCAAGTCTCAGGCAACAATTAATAATTTGAAAAGCAAATCTCAGGCAACAATTAATAATTTGAAGAGCAAATCTCAGGCAACAATTAATAATTTGAAGAGCAAATCTCAGGCAATAATTAATCATTTGAAGAGCAAATCTCAGGCAACAATTAATAATTTGAAGAGCAAATCTCAGGCAACAATTAATCATTTGAAGAGCAAATGTCGGGCAACAACTAGTAATTTGAAGAGCAAATCTCAGGCAACAATTAATCATTTGAAGAGCAAATGTCGGGCAACAACTAGTAATTTGAAGAGCAAATCTCAGGCAACAATTAGTAATTTGAAGAGCCTTCCTAAAGTTAGTTACCATCTTGGCTTCCGGTAGCTAAGTGGTAATTCTGAGGCCTTATAATGCTAAAAATCTAGTTTTGATACCCGTAGTGGGTAATGTGTAATTTTGTCCTCAATAAACAAAAAATGCGATAGGTTATTTATAAGTAGACGGTACAGTAGAAGAAAATATTTTAATTATCTCTCTGTAAAAGAATTTAACCAGAAAAATAATATATGATTTAACGGTGAATAAAAATAACTAACTATGGAGCGCCACCTATAAAGAAGAAATAATAACCATACAGCTTATTAAGTACGTAACCGTCGAAAAATTTAATAGTTTTTAATGAAACAGGTTTTT